CTGTATGTGACCCATGTCTCTCTGCCATATAGCAGGGTGGGGTGGGCCACTGCTCGATATACGAGCAGCTTTGTAGGTAATTTCACTCCCTACAGCTGAAGACACGGGTACAGAGTCTGTCAAAGGCTTGAGATACACATCTGATCCGATGCTAAATTTCTTCAATGATGTCCTGGTGGTGGACAGGTGGGAGCCGAGATACTGAAAGTGGGTAACATTAGAGAGGGTAGGACCGTTAAGCTGGATGGATGGTGGAGGTGTGGCTGAACCAAGGGCAGGCTGAAAGAGAATCTGAGTCTTAGGTACATTCACCTCAAGACCGAAGTGTGCATACGCAACTGCGCAGGTTTTCAGGATCTCCTGGAGGTCGCGTTCAGTGTAAGAAACAAGGGTGAGGTCGTCTGCATACTGAAGTTCAGCATTGGAAGCTGCCGACATCTTTGTGCCTGTCTGTAGTCGTCTTATGTTGAAAAGATCCTTCATCCAGTACTGGATGTCCACCCCGCCGGCTAAATTGGCACTGGCACGAGTAAGGAAGGCAGCCAAGAAAATGTAAAAAAAGAGTTGGTGCCAGTACACATCCTTGTATTACCCCGGTTTGGATGGGGAAGAACTCAGACTGGGTGACATTGTGCAGGACATTGCCGGTCATGCCATCGTGGAGTTGCCTCACAATGGCGATGAATTTTCGTGGGCAGCCAAACCAGCTGAGGGTCCACCAGAGGGCTTCCCTGTTGACCGAGTTGAAGGCCTTAGTTAGGTCAACAAAGGCCATGTTCAAGTCACGATGATGTTCTCTGCACTTTTCCTGTATCTGGCGGACAGTAGAGATCATGTCATTGGCGTCACGTGTTGCCACACACTCACACACACTCACACACACACACACACACACAACACACACACAACACACACACACACATGCTCTGGGCTGACTGTACAATGAAATAGTAACAGGTTCCCAGGGCCTTTAGCTCGTCAAGCGTAAGAGACTTGGACGAACACCGCTACACCTCCATCATGTTCTTCAATTTCAGATGGACGCGACTCTGAGGCGGACGGTCGAGCGGCGACACAATCATAAACCATTAATATTGGATTTATTTCTCAGTGCTCTCTCTCTCTCTCTCTCTCTCTCTCTCTCTCTCTCTCTCTCTCTCTCTCTCTCTCTCTGTAACGGGAAGAAAATGACAGTGGTTGACAGGATGACAGAGATGGTCGGTGACTGAATATGTGACAAGAGTGAAAAGAGTGACAGTGAGTGACAGATGGACAGCTACTGTAAGAAGTGGTAGTGTCGGATTGACAGTGAGTGACAGAGAAGGACAGTGTACAACAGAGTAGCAGAGAGTGACATTGAGTGACAGACAGTGACAGTGACTGAAGAAGGGACAGAGAATGACAATGCGTGATAGAGACGGACACTGAATAAGTGACAGTGAGCGTCAGAGTGACAGTGAGTGACAGTGAGTGACAAGGAGTAACAGTGAGTTAGAGAGAGTGACAGAGTGAAGGGGAGTGACAGTGAGTGACAGTGAGTGACAAGGAGTAACAGTGAGTTAGAGAGAGTGACAGAGTGAAGGGGAGTGACAGTGAGTAACAGTGAGTGACAGTGAGTGACAGTGAGTGACAAGGAGTAACAGTGAGTTAGAGAGAGTGACAGAGTGAAGGGGAGTGACAGTGAGTAACAGTGACATATATATTATAAGGCCGCCGTCCTCACTAAATGGAATCATAAATACATAAGCAGTAGTTTGGTTCAGTAGAAGGCAGAGGCAGAGTATATTAATACCCAGCATGAATACTAGAGTGAGATATTACCTCTCTCTCTCTCTCTCTCTCTCTCTCTCTCTCTCTCTCTCTCTCTCGTCGAAGAATGAAATAGTCACATCATAATGTCTGCCCTTGGAGGCATCAGGAACACACACAATACGATCTCTTAATTACAATGAAAATAATGACTAGAAAACGAAAATATTATTATTATTATTATTATTATTATTATTATTATTATTATTATTATTATTATTATTATTATTATTATTATTAACAATAGTAATAATAATAATTATAAACATGATCAGTTGAGGAAAGTTAATCAAGGTCAGTGCATAGAACTGTTCCCCCTCTTGACCTCACACCCCTCACCCTCCCTCACCCTCCCTCATCCTCCCTCACCCTCCTCACCCTCCCTCACCCTCCCTCACCCCCCAACACGCCGGAAGCCCTGTATAAGATGGGACGGTGATAGAACCAGCGACAATGACCGGAGATGTGGATGACGGTGGTGGAGAAGAGGAAGAGAAGAGAGAGAGAGAGAGAGAGAGAGAGAGAGAGAGAGAGAGAGAGAGAGAGAGAGAGAGAGAGAGAGAGAGAGAGAGAGAGAGGGGAGAGAGAGAGAGAGAGAGAGAGAGAGAGAGACGGAGAAGAATAGGTCTTGGTAGAAAGTTGATTCCACAGATAAGTGATATTTTCGTCTCTGTTCTAATACACTGTGTGTGTGTGTGTGTGTGTGTGTGTGTGTGTGTGTGTAAATGATAATAATTATAATAATAATAATAATAATAATCATAATAATAATAATAATAATAAACGGTTTATTAATAGAGTTGCAGCCGGTGGCTGAAAATATACAGACTTACATTTGATTTGGACATAATGATATAATATGCATTGAATACATTTACAGGGCTGTGCAGTACATAAATCAGGAGTTGTTTATTATTTTAACAATAGATGGGATGGTGCTGTTCTTATATCTATCGGTGCGGGCTCTTATGGGCTGAATTTTGTTGTAGTGGCGGACTGCGCGAGGTGGGCGGGGGGCTGCAGGTGGCAGGAGGTGGCGATGACGAGAGTGGTGCATTAATTGGCTGCCAAACCTTTCCAGTGCTTGGTGGTGGAGGTCACTGAGGGATGGCATTTCCAGGGTGGAGAGAGCGTTGGTGTAGCCGGAATATTCTGCGCCGAGCATGATTCTGCAGGCCCTTTTCTGTACCTTCTCTACCTGACGTTGTTGGGTGGCGTTGAGAGAAGACGACCAGGCTGGTGACGCATACGTTAATTTGGGGAGAATAAAGGCGTTGTAGATGGTCCTCAGCTCTGGCGTGGGTGTCCCAAGTGACCTGAGTCTTCGTAGCATGTAGAGACGGTACGAGGTTGCCTTGACTGTGTTATTTACATGGGCCTTCCAGTCAAGTTTGTGGTCTATAGTTACACCCAGGAGGTTGGCAGACTGCACCAGCTGGAGAGGATGGGCACCCACTGTGACTGCTGAGGCTTGCACTGGAGTGGTGGCGGTATTGATGTGCATGACTACGGTTTTGGTGTGGTTGATGGTGACCTTGTTCTCCGTAGTCCATGCATATAGCCTGTCCAGGGTCCCTTGTAGCGATGAGTAGTCTGGTGCGGTGTTGTCCACTGAAACCCCCACAGTGCAGTCATCCACGTACTTCCACCTGTGAGGAGTGTCCGATAGAGCGTGTGTGTGTGTGTGTGTGTGTGTGTGTGTGTGTGTGCGCGGAGTGCTGTAAGTTGTGAATGAGTGTATGTCTCTCCCGCTGTTCATAAGTCTTACACTGAAAATTTAACTTAACAACCTTTGAGAATCCATCTTTGTGTGGTAGCTTAAGTGAGTCAGTTAGATACGTTCTGACATCACCAGTTAGGAGAAAAATTTAACTTGGCAACGTTCAACAGTTCATTTCTACTCTGGACTATTAGTACTGTACACAGTACTGCCTGCCACACTGTGTGTACTGCCTGCCACACTGTGTGTACCGCCTGCCACACTGTGCCCCTCCTTATGCTATGACCACCACCAGCCACTCAATAAGATATAAAACTCAACTGGTTTATAAAATATTTATTACACAATAAATCATTTATCACATAAATTCAATTAATACACTATAACACGTGGTCATATAATACACCAGGTGTTATTAATACACTATAACACGTGGTCATATAATACACCAGGTGTTATTAATACACTATAACACGTGGTCATATAATACACCAGGTGTTGCTAATACACTATAACACGTTCTAGCAAGAGCCTCAACACCAGCGTGTGAAGGCAGGACCTGTGTGTGAAGGCAGGACCAGTGTGTGAAGGCAGGACCTAGTATATAACGCTGTAGGGATATACTGTACTGGTTGCCTTAATATAAAACACCAAAATAATATCATATTTCACCGAGACTCTAACATAACTTAACACCGGTTAGGAAACAACATTAAAGTTCATTATGTTTTACAAAGGTTTTTTAGAGGTGCTGTTGTCACCTAACTAGTGTTAAGGCATCAAGTTATGGTAGAGTCTTGTTATAATATGATTTTATGGTAGAGTCTTGTTATAATATGATTTTATCTTATTTTAATCTGAAGTTAATTAAGTATTATATCACACATGTGTTCCGAACTTCCCCAGGCTGAGCCACGGTCTTGGGACACAGTACTGAGAGGAACACAACTGTTCTGGAACCCTAACTTACAAAAGTGACATTTTTTGGTCTTAATTTACAGTGAACTGTTACTTATAAAAAAGTACAGTGAACTACTTAAGTCCTGTCGCCTCTCCTCCTGAACCATGAACCCCCAGATCAAGACTCATGAATCTGAACCCTTATGGACAGAATAGTGCATCTTTCTCTACTGCCTCTGGTTCACGAGTCTGAATCTCTGGGTTCATGATTCAGGGGAAGAGACTTTAGTGGTTCACTGTACCTGATCCTTCACATGTCTAGTTCTCATGCTTTAAGTAACTGAACCTTACTTACAACAAAGATTCACTTAGATAATAACATTAACTTCCAAAAATTAACTGCTGAAGCATAAAAATATACAACCTTAAGTACTTATAAAAAGAACCATGAATCTATCATTCCTATTTCTTAACTCTCAACTTACAAATTAATTTCACATATCGTAAGTGCTTTACTAGACACTAAACTTACAATACTGTACAACTTCACTTATTAAAAAAACCTCAGATGTCAAAATTCCAACATGAGTTCTGAAGTGTCATAACATTAATTATAAAATACATTATGTATTTGACGATGGTTCTTTTCATTAATAAACGCCATTGCTAACAGTGAAAAGACACGAGCGAGCTTTAATCTGGCGTAGATTTAATAAGCACATAAATAAGTTATTGATGGACGCTGAAGATTACCGTGTTGGCGTTGTCACAGGGAGGAAGAGATCGGTGAATATTGTGTTATTTGAGGATATTGTCAGCTACGGCGGCTCCTTTAAACCCAATCATGAGGGACTTTACCGGGAGGGAGCATTTTGGAGCTTCCACTCTACCATCCTGTTAATAGTGTATGAAATTGTCTATTTGTTGTGATGATAAGATGCACCACTCACACACACACACTCCTCTTAAAACTGTTTCTGATTGGCGGAAATAATTATTTTATACCAAGTTTCTTATTGGTTGAGCGAGTGAGTGATCGTGCTGTGTGTGTGGGAAGGGGGTGGACGACCACACGTGATGAGAATGATGTCGTTCACACCACTGAGGTGTTTGGTCAGGGTCGTTAAGCTCGGAGTTGAGGACGTCTTGGTTGAAAGTTTGTGGTCGTTTTGATGGAGATTTGATAGTGGTCGTTAAAGCTGAAGCCTTCTGGTCGTTGTGGCCGTAACAGCTAAGACTCGCCCCTAGTCGTAATTACCATCCATAGGAAAATCCCAAGTTTCCATTGAATCCTAACCCACCCAGGCTTCCTGTACCGTAGCCGCCAAGTCCGCCCAAACCACCGCCAAGTCCACCCAAACCACCGCCAAATCCACCCAAACCACCGCCAAGTCCACCCAAACCACCGCCAAGTCCACCCAAACCACCGCCAAATCCACCCAAACCACCGCCAAGTCCACCCAAACCACCGCCAAGTCCACCCAAACCACCGCCAAGTCCGAGAGCAGCGAATGGGTTGGCCAAAAGTCCAGCTGAGAGCCCTAAGTTACCAGTGAGTGTACCGCCCTTGAGGAGGTAAGGGTTGAGACGCTGGTAGTAGTTGTAGGGGCGGTAAAGCTGGTGCTGGTGGTGGTGGTAGTGTTGGTCGTTGTGGTGGTACTGGTTGTCGTAGTAGTCTTGGCGGTGGTACTGGTTGTCGTAGTAGTCTTGGCGGTGGTACCCGTAGTCACTGTTCCTGGGAGCTGGTGATGGAACAGCCGCTGTGTCCACACTAAGAACAGAGGCTAGGAACACCGCAGTCACACACAGGGCTGCCGTCTGGGTCATCTTGAAGCTAAGGAGTTACTGTGGACCTGAATGAGACCTGTGAGGGTGGATGTCCTCGGTGTCAGCTCCAGCCGTCCGTCAGCACTCCACTCCAAGCTGACAACCAAGTGTTAGTGTGTGAGACGCGACCAAACGTCTATTATATATATACACTGTACCGTGACCCCCCGCCCCCCACCACGCCCCTGCTACCACCACTTACCATCACCCCTTCCGCTACCTCCACCCCCACCGTCACACACCACCACCACACACCACCATCACACACCATCACACACCACCATCACACACCACCATCACACACCACCACACACCACCACCACACCACCATCACACACACCACCACACACCACCATCACACACACCATCACACACACACACACACACACACACACACTACATCATTGACCAGCGAAGGGTCAAGACGTACCTGGCGCTCCTCTCGGAGCAGCCAGGTCAACTGTTATGTTGCCCCAGACCAACTCCCTCCCCTGAACCCTCCTCCCCACCGGAATATCAACAAGTTCATGCCAGAAGTTACAATTTCATTTAGGAAAGAAATAGAACCCGTGTTGAACAGAGGTGAACAGTGGTGAACAGTTCTTAAGTCGGTGAGAACAACTCAACAGTAACAGCCGAGTCGTACCCAAGTTAACCTTCACACAGTGAGGTCCCAGGTACCCAGTGATAACGGCCCGTGAGACCCAACAACAACCACCGATGTGTTAATCCGTCTATGATAGGAAGGCCTGGGACCACAAATCACTCATATAACACCATCTGTGAGGGAATTACTACACCACGTGAGGCCCCTCATAACACCATCTGTGAGGGAATTACTACACCACGTCAGGTCCCTCATAACACCATCTGTGAGGGAATTACTACACCACGTCAGGTCCCTCATAACACCATCTTTGAGGGAATTACTACACCACGTCAAGCCCCTCATAACACCATCTGTGAGGGAATTACTACACCACGTCAGGTCCCTCATAACACCATCTGTGAGGGAATTACTACACCACGTGAGTCCCCTCATAACACCATCTGTGAGGGAATTACTACACCACGTGAGTCCCCTCATAACACCATCTGTGAGGGAATTACTATAACACGTGAGGCCCCTCCTAACACCATCTGGGAGGGAATTACTACACCACGTGAGGCCCCTCATAACACCATCTGAGAGGGAATTACTACACCACGTCAAGCCCCTCATAACACCATCTGTGAGGGAATTACTACACCACGTGAGTCCCCTCATAACACCATCTGTGAGGGAATTACTACACCACGTCAAGCCCCTCCTAACACCATCTGGGAGGAAATTACTACACCACATCAGGTCCCTCATAACACCATCTGTGAGGGAACTACTACACCACGTGAGGTCCCTCCTAACACCATCTGGGAGGAAGTTACTACACTACGTGTTTGCTGTTCAATACCTACATTAATCTGTATGTTCACTGTTCCTTTACCTTTCTCTAATGAAGGCTTTTGTTAAAGTACCAATGTGTGTAATAAGTAAGTTATGTCCAATGTATATTTTCAGCCATCGGGCTGCAGAACTTTTTCAATAAACCGTTAATTAATTATTTTTATTATTATTATTATTATTATTATTATTATTATTATTATTATTATTATTATTATTATTATTATTATTATTATTTTTATTATTTTTATTATTTTTATTATTATTATTATTATTATTATTATTATTATTATTATTATTATTATTATTATTATTACCTGGAGAAACGTAAGACATCACTGGCCGTTGCCCTTTTTTACTTCAGGAAGGCTTTTGACCTTGTTGATCACTGCACTGTTATCAACAAGGACATTGCACTAGGGCTGCCCACCAACCTGGTCTCATGGCTCACTGATTTCCTGAGTGAGCGTCGTCAGGCAGTGAGGTACCAGGGTTCTGTCTCCACATTCCAACACCTCACCTGCGGTGTTCCCCAGGGGACCAAGATGGGACCACTGTGCTTCCTAATCCTGATCAACGACGCTCTATCTGACACTCCTCACAGGTGGAAGTACGTGGATGACTGCACTGGGGGGTTACAGTGGACAACACCTCACCGGACTACTTATCGTTACAAGGCATGGACTACGGAGAACAAGGTCACCATCAATCACACCAAAACCACAGTCATGCACATCAATACCGCCACCACTACAGTGCACACTCCAGCAGTCACAGTGGGTGCCCATCCTCTCCAGTTAGTGCAGTCTGCCAACCTCCTGGGTGTAACTATAGACCACAAACTGGATTGGAAGGCCCATGTAAACAACACAATCAAGACAGCCTCGTACCGACTCTACATGCTACAACGACTCAGGTCACTTGGGGCACCCACGCCATGTAAGTTTGTATATTTTCAGCCACCGGCTGCAACTCTATTAATAAACCGTTTTTTGTTATTATTATTATTATTATTATTATTATTATTATTATTATTATTATTATTATTATTATTATCATTATTATTATTACACACGTCTGTGGCTGTCGCCTTCATTGACTTCACCAAAGCCTTCGACCTCGTCGACCACAATTTAATCATCGACAAAGCTATCGACTTCGGGTTTCGAAGAAGTCTTACACCATGGCTTACAGACTTCCTCAGTGACCGACGCCAAGCCCTATGCTTCCGAGGGGCTGTCTCCACTTTTCAGTCGCTCACCTGTGGTGCCCCCCGAGGCACCAAGATGGGACCGCTCTGATTCCTTATGCTTATCAATGATGCCCTAAGAGAAACCCCTGCTCGCTGGAAATATGTCGACGATTTTACCGTTGGGTTCAGTGACAACAACTCTGCTCCCAACTATACCGCCCTTCAGGATTTATTGAACAGTCTCCAAAAGTGGGCCACCAACAACCACGTCACCATCAACCATACCAAGACCATGGTTATGCACATCAACCTCTCCTCCGACGTTGTCCCACCCCCTTCCATTACTTTTGACCCCAACATGCGTCAGTACAGTTGTCAAATCCTCCAGTTTCCGTCTCCACCTCCTCTGCCGACTCAAGTCCCTCGGAGTTCCTGCACCCGAGCTCCTCAGTGTTTACTCAACATTCATACTTCCCAAGCTCACCTATGTCTCCCCTACCTCGTCTTCCTCCCTAAATGCCACACAACGTAAACACCTAGAAAAAGTGCAAAAGAGGGCATGCAAGATTATTCTCTCCCCTTCCTACTCCACATATCAAGGTACACTCAACACATTGACCCTTTTGGCTCTCTCTAACTACCACCACGACCTCATCTGCAAATTTGGTGAGAAGCTTCTGCACCATCCTCGACACCGGCTCTTACTACCACCCAAGATCCCTCGTCCGAGAATTGCTGTTCGACAACACAACCGCATCCAGCCCATACGAGCACGAACTGGTTGCTATAAGAACAGCCCAGTCCCAACCATTGTAAAAATTATCAATTACTTGTAATCAACAAGTGTATTCACTCCCAGTCAATCTTACGTTTTTGCACTGTCACTATGTTGAAATGCCCTGTAGTTTGAGCTTCTCCCCACCTATTATTATATATCATATTTGTATAACTTATGTTATTTGTCAATCAAGAAACCCATTCACCAATTATGTAACTGTATATTTTCAGCCTTCCGGCTGCCATGCTCTTTCAATAAACCGTTAATTATTATTATTATTATCATTATTATATTTATTACACACACACGCACACACACACACAGGGGCCCCCTTGGCCAATGTTCCGCTGATTCCTCAAGTCCCTCTCCTGGACCCATCCTCACCACCGGGATATCAACATAATCAAAAGTGACAATTTCGTTTCGGAAAGAAGTGGGACCAGTGTTGAATAGTGATGAACAGTGTTTAAGCCAGTGAATTCAGCACTAGACAGTACCAGTGAAAGCCGTGACCCACCAGTGAGATAAGCACCCCTGGGAACTGACCGCCATCTCCTGACCAGGAGGTGCTAATCAGTTCACCCTGGGAACAACAGGGGGACGGCTTCACACCTGACTACAAGATAACACAACACCACCTGGTGTCCCCATGACCACGTGAGGTCCTTCATATCAACGCCCCCGGACGAGTTACTACACCACGTGAACACCTCACCACCCGGTGTCTCCATGACCATGTGAGGTCCTTCATATCAACGCCCCCGGACGAGTTACTACACCACGTGAACACCACACCACCCAGTGTCTCCATGACCACGTGAGATCCTTCATATCAACACCCGAGGACGAGTTACTACACCACGTGAACACCACACCACCTGGTGTCTCCATGTACCACGTGAGGTCTTTCATATCAACACCCGAGGACGAGTTACTACACCACGTGAACACCACACCACCTGGTGTCTCCATGACCAGCCCAGGCCCGGGCCATCAACTGTAAACTATAATAATTTGTATGTTCAATCATTGTTCCTTCTTCTTTCAGTAATGAAAGCTTTTGTTAAACGACCCGCCCACCCCATGTCTTTGTATGTAATAAGTCATTTTTGTCCAATGTATATTTTCAGCCTTCAGGCTGCCGACTTTTTCAATAAACCGTTAATTATTATTATTATTACATACACACACACAGACACAGACACACACACACTCACTCACACACACACGTTACAACACAAACACACGTTACAACACACACACACACACACACACACACACACACACACACACACACACGTTAACACACACACACACACACACACACGTTGCAACACACACACACACACACACACACACACACGTTACAACACAAACACACACACACACACACACACACACACACACACACACACACACACACACGTTACAACACACACACACACACACACACACACGTTACAACACACACACACACACACACACACAGAAGTCTACAACACAATAAGTATTTTCACACACAGTAATTAAGAAAGTCCTTGTACAGTCGACAGTTTTAACAATCCCTCCTCCACTCACCTCCTCCCTCCTTCCCTCCTTCCTTCCCTCCCTCCCTCCTTCCCTTCCTCCCCTCCTTCCTCCCCTCCTCCCTCCCCTCCCCTCCCTCCTTCCTCCTCCCTCCCCTCCTTCCTT